AGGTAGCTGACTGACTTGTTTGGAGGGCATGACGGGTGTCAAGGGTGTGAGCCATGTAGGTTGCCTAGGTGAGTTGGGTGGATGAAAAGAGCAGGGAGAGGTCCCAAGAGAACAGAGCTGAGAGGGAGGCGGCGTGGTTGGCCCAGTCACTCTGTCCCTTCCTGTGTCTCTCTTGCCCCCTGAGACACCCTGCCACTCACAGCAATAAGGCATGAAGCTTTCCCGAGTACCTGCTTACCTGCAGCCTCTGCTCATGGCAACTGGGGAGCCCAGAGTCCAGGCAGGGCAGGAAGGAGGTGTGGGCTGGGCCCAGTGCCTGGTAGCAGCCACCCTGTACACGACCAGTCTCATGGACTCCCCTGGTCCCAGCCATAGTCCTCAGTGGTTCCCCAGATGCCCCAGCACAGCCTTCTTCACAAAGCGACCTCTCTCGTTCTTATTTGCGGGGTGCTTTGAGAGGAGGCCTCCCCTCACACCACAGTTGCAGGTGCAGACATGATAGAAACCTGCAGCCCCTCGTGGTTCAGAGAAGAGCAGCTCAAGGGCTGCATGATGAGTGTGGCTTTGAGGTCGAATGTCTGGTCCACATCCCAGCTCTGCTCTTGAACTCACCCTCCTGACCCTGATCACATTTGATTAAACTTCCTGAGCCTCATCCCTTATCTGTAAACTGGGGTTAATGATAGTCACCATGAAAGGATGAATGAAATACACTTTGTGGTGGGGATTAAATGAAATCCTACACGCAGGGTGCCTTGATGCAAGTTGAACATTCAGTGAGTGATATAAATTATCACCCATCACATTACAGCTTACAGTTGGCTCCACGTTCTTGATCTTGTTTTGTCTCCACAGTAAGAACTCTGGGCAGTTGGTGTCGATGTTATTTTTGAAATTTTACAAACAAGGAAACGGAGGCCACAGACACACGAGCGTCCCGATACACAAATTTAGGTCACAGATCATAAAAAACCTGTTTGTGAACACATGCACACGTGGGCCCATGCCCTCTGACAGTTGGCTGAGCAGACACTTCGACAGACTCATTTTCCTTTGCCCCAGATGTGGAGGACAGGGATGGGTCTGTGGAGGCTGGGCGAAGAGTTTCGAAAACTCTAGAGAAAGGTGGGCGATCGGCAGAGGTGACAGATGGATGGCGTTTACCTGAACAAAGGGAAGCGGATGCCTTCCCCGCAGGAACGGCCCCACACGCCTGGGCACACACCTGGGCCCAGTGTCTCTCGGGGCTCTGCTCGCCTGGGATCCTGTTTCCTGGGCATGACAGCAAGGTGGACTTTGGGAGTCCAGGCAGGCCAGGAGACCCTGAGAGGAAGCTCTTCGTTCCTCCCCCTCCACCTTGCTCTACTTCCCAAGCTGCTTCCCCTCCCCATCCCCAAACCTGCCTCCGTCTGGCACTGGAACCAGATACGTCAGGAAGCGCGGGGCGGGGCCAGGGATTCAGAGGACAGTTAGCCGGGCAGGAGTCGGAACCTCTGCTGCCGACACGCAGGGAAGCGAACGCATCCTGCAGGTCACACGCGCCCTGCACATTCCAGTCTGTATTCCGTGTCTCATCTGACCTCCACAAGGGGCCGGTGAGTAGACATTGTTGTGCCTCTGATGAAGACACTGAGACTCGGTGGCTTTAGGGACCCACTCAAGAGCACACGACAGGCAAGCAAGGATCCCAAGATCTGAAGCCAGGGCAGCCTGACTCTGCATCTCATTCTCCCTCCATACTACTCAGCATGCACAAGTTGGACAGAGTGCCAGGACGAGCTGTACGGGGGAAGCTTTCCACTCTAGGAGAAACTCCAGCTCAGAGATCTTCATTTCATAGACTCTAGGACAGCCCTGCCCATCCCTGGGCTCCCTGGGCTCCCGGGGTCTCCTCTTGTGGGCTTTCTCGGGTAAGCTCCCTCTGAGTCTTGTCTTTCCCAGAAAGAAGTAAACAAAATCCTCCCTCATTTCTGGCTGACGAACACTGGGTGGACCAGAAAGATTTTAATCAAAATCCTTCTGCCTTTATTTTATCAGTCACTAATTCATTAGTTCAGCAAATATCTCTGAGCACCTGTGATCAGCCAAGTTCTGGGCTAGACACGGGGTGGGGGGGCTTACGAATAAATAAGAAGCAGACCCTGCCCTCAGGGAACTTAGTCTGGTTCACCTTAGCATTTAGAAGCCTGTGGAGGTAGGGCAAGGAGAGGCCCCTGTCCCCCATTTGCTAGCATCAATCGTCTGATTAATTCAACTTCTTAAACATTTAACAAGATTCTACTTTGGTCATCTTCTAGGCACTGTGTCCACATAACTATTAGTGAGCCATTAGCACTTTTCCAAGGGATAGCAGTTTTGGTCGGGGTAGGAGTAACCCAAATCCGAGGTGGATGTGCTAAGAGCTCTGAGTGACTGGCTGGGACCACTGTGGCATGAGGGTGAGGCAGATATGGTATAGAAGGCTTTGTGCATCAGCTGGGATTGGAGCACATAAGCAGAAGCTGGGTGGGAAGGGCGTGTCCTGTGGAAGGAACAGCATTGCAGGTCTTGGCCTGAGGACCCCTGGCCAGGGCTGAGGTGCTTAGAACTCATGCCCAAGGCAGCTGGAGCCATTGAAGGTGTTTGAGCAGGGGAGTGTGCTCTAGGGAGGGTAGCCTGTTGGCAGTGTGACATGGAAGTTGCTGCATTAGGTCTGCCCATCTGGCTGCCCCAAGGCAGAGGAGCAGTCAGGAGGGGAGAATGCAAGAAGCCCCATGACTTGACTGTAGCCACCTTTCCTCGCCAGGGCCCCAAGGCCATGAGCTGTTCACAAACCCTGAAATAGCCCAGCCTTTTCCTGAGCTTGAGGCCACGCCATCTGTCGTAGGTAGCCTGGAGCAACGATAGGGTCACAAAGCACCATAAAATATTACAGGTCAGGAAGGAAAAATGCAGGGGGCTGGAAAAACCTTGTGAGCTGAGGACCGTGGTGGCAGGGGCTGTAGGGTGAGGGTCGGGTGGCCCCACCTCCCTAGAGCAGGTAGAGGGATGGCTGGGGGTGGGACTTGGGCCCCTGGTGCCACCTCGTTCACTGTACCCTGGCTGACTTTGCCCTGTTCTCCTCCGCAGTCCCTCCGGAGGACACCAGGATTGACGGAGGCCCTGTGATTCTGCTGCAGGCAGGCACCCCCCACAACCTCACGTGCCGGGCCTTCAACGCCAAGCCTGCCGCCACCATCATCTGGTTCCGGGACGGGACGCAGCAGGAGGGCGCTGTGGCTAGCACGGTGAGCCCCAGCTGGCCCGGCCCCTCCCAGGCCTAGCTCAGCTCACCTCTCCTTTCCCACAGGGGTCTGACCACAGACTTAGGGGACACGGGTGTGAGAAGAGGCCTAGAGATCATCCAGCCCGACCCTCTCATTATGCAGCTGGGAAAACTGAGGCCCAATCAAGAGAAGCAAATTCCCAGTTTCCTTGCGCCATTCAGTGGCTGAGCATAGACTAAGAATAATTATACTGATAGCTGACACGGGTTGAGCACCTACTGCGTGCCAAGCGCTATGCATGCTGAGCACTTTGTGGAACATCTCGTGCTCACAGGAGTCCCTTCAAGGAGGCATTTGCTTCCAATTCATGAAGGAGGAAGCTGATGACCAGATAGGTTGAGCAGCTTGTCCAAGTCACACAGATGGCAAGCAGCAGAGCTGGGATTTGCCCTGGCATCTGACTGTGCCCTCTCTCTCCTCATCACTTCTTCAGCATCTGGTTGCACATTATGCCAACCGTCACTACTGGGAGGCTGGGGAAGCAGGAAATCTTATAGACACTATTTCATTGTATTTTATTTTTTCGAATCAGAGTCTTACTCTGTTGCCCAGGCTGAAGTGCAGTGGCACACTCATGGCTACTCACCCTCGACCTGCTGAGCTCATGTGATTCTTCCACCTTGGCCTTCCAAGAAGCTAGAACTACAGGTGTGCGCCACCACGCCCAGTTACTTTTTTTATTTATTGTAGAGACGAGGTCTTGCCAAATGGCCCAGGCTGGTTTCAAACTCCTGGGCTCAGGTAGTCCTCTCACCTCCACTCCACAAAGTGCTGGGATTACAGGTGCAAGTTACCAATGCCTGGTTCTTGTAGACATTTTATAAATGAGGAAGCTGTGGCAGAGAAAGACATCAGGATCACAGGGCAAAGTTGTCGGTACAGCTACGATTCAAATCCAGATCTCTTGATGGGGCTTCCTTCTGTAGAAAAACATATATGTGTCTGTCCCTTAGCTAGATGCTGCGGGAGATGCTTCTCGGTGTGGGGAGAGAGGTGCTCACCTGTGCTCCTTGGAGTGAGGCCCCAGGAGGTATCTGGGTTCTGGCTTGAGCTGTGCCCTTAACACACTGTATGACCTTGGACAATTCACTTTGCTTCTTTTGGCCCTAGTTTCACCATCTGACAAATGATCGTTCAGCCTCAGTGGTACTTGACCCATTCACAACCGGGGGGAATTCTGTTTTTTTTTCCAGCGGAGCTACATGCTTTGAGATATTTTGGCAACTCAACAAGTTGATTTGCTAATGACCATTGATCGTCCAGCTTTTATATTCATTAGAGATGATGGAGCTTTAAGTCAGCACGAGGGAACCAGGGTCACGATAGTGGCCTGGTACTATTCCGCTCCAAAAAAGATGTATGTATGGCTGTCAACCTGGGGGGACTTCACTTTGGTGAATAGTGCAGCTTCCCTTAGGCAGTCTGTAATATGGAAAACAGTGTGACCATATGTGGAAA